CCACAAATGCTGCTTGTAGGCTTAGGCCAAGAGAATAAGGGCTCAACATAAAGAAGGAAAAATGCCACTCAGAAGGAGAGTCACCTACCCTATAGCATATATCTCTTCTGTACTTCTGCCTCCTCAAATTTTCTATTGAACTACCCTCAGGCACTTATTTATTTGACTTAAAACAAATGCGTGTGGAAATCTTTGTGAGCAGTGTTTCTACCCTGTCTGGCTTATAGAGTTGACAACTCAATCATTCACAGTAATAATAATGACCTGAATATTTTGTGACAGGTGGTACTTCTGCCTAGTTGACTATACCTTGCCACAGGGTCTCTATGTCTTTCACCAGCCAAATCCAGAACCATGACACTAGATACTTCCAGTTAAAAAACAGATACTACAGATATGGAATAAAGGGGTTTTGTTTGAAAAATCAAGTACAATTGAAGTCTATTTTAAAATAAAGCAAACTATTCTTGTGTTTAACAAGCATATTTACCTAATTTATATGACTGGTACCACCCCATTCATTGCCCTTGCAGTCTGCAGTGTGAAAGAATCTTAGGCATTTATCAGAAAGGATTTGGAGAATTTGGCTGTGAAGTTCCTGCACATGTTATCTACCTAAAATAATTTCTAAGATGTTGATTTCATGATATCTCAGCAATTGTTCTTAAGTGAGTGAAAATTATACCTTCTGTTTACTTTTACAATCATGTACAATAAACCGAAGAGTCTTTTTATCACAGATGTTGAGGAATTTTGTTTTCAATCTGAGAGGAGAAAGCTTAGTAGCTTACACTTTCTAAATTTTCATAAAGTGTTTGCCATTCAGCAGAATATTTTGCATAAATTATGTTTTATGAACATTGGACTATAAATTTTTTACTGAAGAAATATTTCAATGTGTAATATTTTAAAATATCACATCTCTATCAAGTTTGCAGTTCTATTAAATGATCTGTACAGAGAGTAAAATATTCTGTTCTTCCTCTTAAGGATTATTTGTAAGAAGTGGCAGAGGATGTTATTAATTATTTCAGATACGTAGAAGTCATTGTTCTCTCTGGCATTTGAAGTAAGATCAAATGAGGGGAGAATTAAGAATCTTCCCCACAACATTTCGATCCATGTTGATCGTTTTTATTGTGTTTGTTCCTAAACCAATAATACTCGTCTTTTCTTTCTCTATCACGTGCTTGTATAAGGCCTTATGTGTTTCCTAACTGTCTTTCATAGACTTGTTTGTACCATCTGGAACAGACTGCGAAGCTCTTAAAGGAAATTGGCATATTTTGTATGATTGGTATACACGCTCCAGTATCTACAAAAACTGGGCCAGAAAACAAAAAGTTGGAAAACATGCATTTGTAAAATGTAACAAAGGGTTAACTTTCTTATGAAGTACATCAATTTGAAATTGTTCTTCCGCTTAAAACATGCAAATTGAAGTGGTCTGTGTTCTTCCAGGCAGAAAAGTCAAGAGTCAGGGCACAATTCATCATAAATCAATTTTCCTGCTTCAGCAATTAGTGATTCACAGAGAGAGAAAGAGAGACCTTCTTTTAGAGTGGGACCAGAGTAACTATGGAGTAGAATAAAACTTTGCAGCTACCTAGGACTAACAGGAAATATATACAGATACATGCATACATATATATATATACACACACACACACACACACACACATATACACATACACGTATATACACATACACACATATACATATACTTTCAGAGATTTGGGGCTATCTACACAACAGCTTAGCTATGTGATGTGTGGTGATGGTGCCTATTGCACTAAGTCTTAACTTTGATCTTGATATTTAAAGTTATCTGTCAGCTTTCTTTGCCATATCCAAAATTATCTTCCAGTCCTTCCAAAACTTGACAGTCCAAGCTGACCAGTAACCTCACTAGTTATTACACAGGGAACCATAACTCTGGATATTCCCAATGTCCATGTTTTTTTCACACCTTTCCAGCTTCATAAAGTAGCCTCCTTAATCCTTCCATAATCTAAACTATAATGCTTTCTTCCAGACCTATGTAAGCCTTACTTCTTCTTTGACAAATTTAGCTTAAAATGATTTCCATATTCCGTCCATTTCCAAATCCTTAGGAATCTGTACCTAATATTTGCATGCTCCTCTGAATCTTTCTTTGGTTTGCCCTGACAATACTGATCTCTTCAATGACTTAGTTGTTGTGGTTTTTTTTGTTTCTTTGTTTTTGAAATGGAATCTCGCTCTTGTCACCCAGGCTGGAGTGCAGTGGTGCAATCTCAGCTCACTGCTACCTCTGCCTCCCAGGTTCCAGTGATCCTACTAACACCTCAGCCTCCCGAGTAGCTGGGATTACATGTGCATGTCACCATGCTCGGCTAACTTTTTTGTATTTTTAGTACTGACAGGGTTTCACCATGTGGCTCAGGCTGGTCTCAAACTCCTGGCCTCAAGTGATCCTCCCGCCTCAGCCTCCCAAAGTGCTGGGATTACAGGTGTGAGCCACCACACCCAGCCTTCTTCAGTGATGTTAACATAAACTCTTTTGAAATCTTCCAGAAATTTGGACAAAGATAAGCACAGATTAGCAGATTGACATATTCAAATCCATTCATTTATTGGTTCTTTTACCAATTTACTCAACAAAAGTCATGTGCCATACTGGATGTTGGATGCCAGAAAAGTTAAGATCAGAAGAAGAAAATCTCATCCATAAAAAAGTTCAAACTTTATAGGAAAAAGAAAAATGTGCCATCTTGATATATTAAATTGGTACAGCATAAATGTACTAAAAAGAAGGGCTTATGGGGGCAAGTGGGAGTCACTTTTAGAGTGATCAGAATAGTATCCTACAAGAAAGTGCATTTTATTCACTCATTCCTTCAATAAATATTTAATATATGACTGCGACATGCCAGATGCTGTTACACTTTGGGGATACTGAGATGAAAGGTCGCAAGGTACCGTATTTACAGAGCTTACACTCAAGAGGGGGAAGACACTGAGTAAATCAACAAAGTAGGGTCTAGAAAGCAATGTTACCTTAACAGGATTATGATAGATGCCATGTTTTTATTTGTATTGGTTTGGATTAGTAAGGATATCATTCATGCCACCATTTCACCATGAGTGCCTCAACTTTTATAGGAGTAAGCAAAGAAGGCAAACGGCAGTGCCGGGTTTGGCTTTCCCCAAGCTTGCTTAACAGAAAAACATTTTTCTGATTGATTGATCACTTTAAAAAAACACATTTTAATTAACATACCTAAACATTAGTATGCATTAGCCACTACTTATCTAGTTTAAATTCCAGTGCTTAATTCAAAAAAGAGTGGAAGAAAACCCAAACATCTAGTTAAATAAATATCTCATTAAGTTTTTACTGTTATTGGTTCATAATTACTGTTTATTTTATCCCAAGTTTGAATGGTTTTCATGGAATTAACTGAACCGTAATACCCACTGTTTGGAGTTTTGGTGTCTGTGTGTGCGTGTGTTTTGTTTTGTTTGCTTGTTTTTACTCTTACAGCTTCAACTTGCTTTGGATTTGAAACAGCCTTTCTTAAAAGTGCTTATAGGCAACTTCTTCTGGTCCCACTGTTGTGCCCTCTAGAGAAAGAGCAAGGCTACTTCTTTCATTTCAATTTACATCAATAAGCATAGATTGAACAGCCACCAAGAGCTTTAAAGATACAAAGGTGAGCAAATCACGGTCCATTTCTTCAATGAGTTTATAATGTATAACGGAGTTCTAAGAACTTTCAAAAAAGAAGCAATTGACTGGTCAAAGAAAATTATCATTATGTGCCCAAATAGGCTTCCAAATTATCTGTGTGCTAAGAATGATGCTTCATTAAGTAACCCATTTTCTCTGGTTCCAGAAGCTCAGCCAGAGAAGGAAAAATAGTTCTTTGATTGCAGTGTGTTGTTCTTGGCCCACAAAAGATCCAAACAAATTCTTTTCTGCACTAAGAACGAAGTCTTTTCTTTGTCATTAAACAAACTTCCTTTAGCTTCCTTCTTCTGTCATGGGTTTATATGCCATATCCAGGTTTATTTATCAATCAACTACAAATATCACCCACTTTATCACAAAGTGCCTCTTTCCCAGTCTCCCTCTTACAGGAGCTTCACCACTGTTTACAATGCACAGCAATTTACACACTTACACACTTTACAGAGACTAGAGAAGGGTTTATGCATACATCATACATATGTACATATGTGTATGCATATATACACATATACGACTCCATGTATTTTTTATATATATGTTCCCATATACCAGAGAAAGAAACAGGGTTTCAAAAATCTGTTTTCAGTAGAAATAAAAGGAATAAATTATTTTTACTAACTTTAAATAAAGACAAGGCAGGTTGGGCTCAGTGGCTCACACCTGTAATGCCAGCACTTTGGGACACCAAGGCAGGGTGGACTGCTTGAGGCCAGGAGTTTGAAACCAGCCTGGCCAATATGGTGAAACCCCGTCTCTACTAAAAACACAAAAATCAGCCATATGTGGTGGTAGGTGTCTATAATCCAAGCTACTTAGGAGGCTGAGGCAGGAGGATTGCTTGAACCAGGGAGGCAGCGGTTGCAGTGAGCCAAGATCACGCCACTGCACTTCAGCCTGGGCAACAGAGTAAGACTCTGTCTCATAAATAAATAAATAACAATGCAAGACTATTATGTTTTTGAAGAAAGCAACTTTTTACCCAAGTCTTATTTATTTCTTAGACCCCCACACTACTTAATGGACTAATAGGGGTTTGTTTTTTCCAATTTTTGAGAACCCTGTAAAATAAATTTATTCTTCGTATTCTCAAAATTTACCATAAAATGTATTAGAAAATGAATATTTACCATATTTTCTTTTGGAAAAAGTTTTCAACTTAAGTCTGAAGATTCTGTATTTCTACTTAATTTAAGAGATTGGCAAACAAGATGCAGTACTGACTATACTTCTTTCCCTGAGAAACGATATCTTTTGTTAAAGAACATACCCAGATGCTGTCCTCTTGGCGATACTGTTTCCAATTCCAGCCACTATCACTGAACATCAGGAGGTAGCTGATCACCCAGTTGGAGCTCCCATAACCCCCTTGAGTCGCCACAGCGGTAACCTCCATTCTTTCTCCAAGGTCAATCTGCAACCACTGGTATTTGTTAGACACAAGTGGAGACCAGCCACCAGCTCCTTTTATTAAAAGTAGAAACAAGAGAAAATTGGGAAAGAGAAGTTAGTTAAAAATCTATGATAGTAAGGCAGAAATGCCAGCAAGACTGTATTTCTCTATGGAACTTAGATTTCCAAAATATCAAACTTCTTATAATTGTAGAAAAATATAGAGAAGAATTTAGTGTAAGTGTATGATGTCTATGTTAATTAATTGTGTTCATTTCTAGGTTTTATAGCCTCCTAAAACTTAGAGAACTAGGAGTCTTGCTGAATGTTTAACGTGCTGAATCTGACAAGTGAGCATTACCGCCAAGACTGGGGACTACCATGTCTGCTGCACACATGCATCACTGGGTAATGGTCTGCTCTCCTACCCCTTTCCCCAGGACTGGATGTAAGAAAATAACTTCAAGCTATGATGGAACTAAAAATTTACTTTTGATCAATTTTAGACTCAGAGAAGGGAATACATTGTTAAGTCCGAGGGAAAACAAAAGTCAAGAAATAGTTCCTACCCTCAGATGTTTACATTCTTTGGGAGGGACAGATATGGAAAACCATGTCGGAAACAACAGTAATGATGGAGGATGAGCAGGAGAAAATAACGCAACAAAGATGCTCTATCCAGTGGTGGTCTGGAGCTCGTTCCCAGCAGTTTATGAGAGACAATCATTACATTTTCAACTTTGCAAGCGAGTTATTAAACATGACCATCTTTGCAGCCAGCCATGATGGGACTGTTTAAACCATGGAAATTGCAAACTCTGCAAAATAAGCACCTTCCCCCACCCAGTTAGTTTGTCAACACACCACTGGTTCTATCCTATGTAGGGGGAAGTTGGTGTGTGAGAAGATGGAGGGAAAGAGAACCAAGGAAATCATAGAGCAAGCTGTGCTTGATCACTCAGAAGTAAAAAATAGAAGTTTGATGTATGTTCAAGGAAGTAATGTGTGGAGCATAATTGACTGGGTTATATTTTATCTAGCACACACCAAAACAGTACAGATGTGACTCCTATATATCTTAAGATGCTTCATTCTTCCACTTTAATATAATAATTTGCAGAATTATTTGCAGAATTATTTAACATTGCTGATTATAAGTAACATATAATAATTGTAGATGTTATGAAATAGTGTTTGATCCTATTTCTGAAATCCGTGTTTTTCTAACAATTAATGTCTATTAAAATGCAACATCAATTATATAACACCCCAAATAACAGTGTTAGCACATTTTCTTTCCCCTATCCTTCTGCTGCTCACCTTGAGGCTCTGATAATAAGGTCTGGAATTTTAGATATAGATGACCATTAATTTATATAGTTTTGAATCAAGCATTATTCTTGGCATACATAATCCACTTTGTGAAACCTTGAGTACAAGACCTAATTCGAAGAAATGCTCAATAAATGTTTGTTTTTATGAAGGGGCATATGTCACTGTAAGATCTGAAGGGACACACCTGTGTTGACAACTGCTTTATAAGACTTCAAGATTATTTTGATGGTAGAATGTAGCATAAGATGAATGGCAGAACTCTGCTACTTACAACTACGAACAGGAGAAGACTCCAGGCAGGAGCACAGGGGGCTGCACCAGGGGACAGGATAAGGGCAAACTAGAGCTGCTGGAGGCAGCTTCTGTATGACAAGCGGGGTAGGGTTAGCTAGCTAGGCGTGTCATACAGGTGGGCTTCCTATGAATTGGCTAATTTGAACAATTTATCTAAGAGGCACTGGGACACCCCTAGTTGTCTGGCACCTGTCCCAGCAATGATGCTTAGTGACCCCAAAGAGTGAGAACCTAATAAAGAAAGTGGTTGGAGTAGGACATAACCAGCTGCTAAGAAAGGAAACTGACCAGTCCTAGCCAGGGCTTCAAAAGTGGGTCAAAGCAGCATTTTAAAAGTTTATATTGCAACAAATTGCACATGTACCCCTTAATCTAAAATAAAAGTTGAAATTATTTTCAAACATTATATTACAACAAGGTCCTCTCTTGATGGCATCACACTAACTACTACTTGCATTCCGGTATAATCCCTGTTTCTTACTCTATTGTCTTTAGAACTAGATACATCATCAAATTTCCATCTTTCTTAAAGTGAATCATTGTTCAAAAGTGTATTCCACTCCATATGTCAAAAGTACAGTGCTCTTTCTCTTTTTTGGATCCAGAAATTTTTCACATACTACAATTTTTGTTTATGTGTTTTTAATTTTCTCTGTATTTGTTCTTAAAGAACCTGTGATGTTGGGTGCACTTTCTTTGTACGCCAATATTATCTACCTTTATGCTTGTCAAGTAGAATATTCTCATCTTTTAAGCAAGAGGGCTTGTTACATAGACATGGGCCCTGGGTGTCTTGGAGTCATTTGTTTGGCACGGCAATGCTGTCCAAGAAGGGCACTTTCTACCCTTGCAGATTGTTATTTATATGGAGTTTGTTCTTGAATGATCTGAGGCACACTTTAAATAGCACCCTGCCACAAATAGCTTGGGGAGTTCTTGAACTCTGCAGGAACTGCTCTCATGGTGTTATTTTAAAATCTGAATCAATGCTTCCTCCATCCTTCATTTTTCAGGATGTGATGAAACACCATCCATCCTCCTCCCCTTATTCTAATACTGTATTACTTAACATTTGCTGATCAAGGGAGTCCTTCGTGTCAGGCACTTTGTGAAGGCCTTGCTAATTAATTCTCAGTGCAATCTAAGTAGTACATGGTGTGTTAGATTCAAAAAGTCTGAACGCTTCGCCCTCATCCATGGAGAAGGCAAGAGGCACAATACCCTTAACTAGGACACGGCAGTTCCTTTCATAGTGTCAGGATGCAAACGTGGGAATCTATGGTTCCCAGTGGATGTAGAAAAAACTCACTGATGCTAATGGAGGTCAGGGAAACTCAGGATTAAGCTACCAGGCAGAAGGGTCAACTTCCCTCCCTGTAGTTAACGATGGACCATGTCTTTCAAGTATAGGTACATGATGGACATGGCACGTGGATGAGAATTTCCCTCCACTGTCCTATCTACTCTAACTCTTTCCCTCCAGGCCCTGTCAAAACTTTGGAAATTGAAGCATCTTTAATTCTCTTATTGCTGCAACTGTGTATCTCTATTTCTGTCATTTTTTTTTACAAGGAAAAGTTAGGAGGGTGAATGAAGTGCCCCTAGAATGCCACCATCTCAGCCCGGTAATCCCACATATGGAATTGCATCTGTATCAGCCAATTCCTCTGAGAAAATACTGATTAATTTGCCTCTTTCCCATTCTAGTTAATGATAATGGTCTAAGGCCTGTAATGAGAACATGTTTTTCTAAAATCCAGCATTTCATAGTATTTCTCTTGCATTTTCATGCATCTATAGGCCAGTGTTTTAAAAAGCAGGCACATGACAGAAACACAGCAAGGAAAAAAGAATTGGTGTGTTTCTAGAGAGTTAAAATCGGATCATCAATTCTCAACACGAGAAAGAGGAACCCCTCACTGACCGTTCCCTCTTCACAGCGCTGCTCACAGTTACAGCTGCACCAGCCAACTTGAAACATTCACAGTTAATTGACCTTGAACATTTCAATCTCTTACCTGTGGTGAAAAGGTACTACTGGTATGCAAATTAAGCTATATCATTAATGAGGTACACTGATAAAGTAATGGAAATTCAGATGCTTCTAGGCTATACCAAGTAATTTCAGCCAGATAAGTTGGCCACAGGGAATCCAAATATCCGTACCAGGTTTTAAGTTGTGCAGCTCTGCAGATGCACATGGTATTAGTGTGTGATAGAGAGGTAGGCTTGTTCCAATTTTAAGACAAATACTAAATAGTAAAATGGAAGCTAGACAGACAGACCAGTAGAGATAAACTGATTATTCTTTGCAGAATTTTTTTTTTTTTTTTTTTTTGCCAACCTATGATGACAGGAAGGGACACCAGTGGCATGAAATACAAACATAACTATAGCTGAGGTTAGACCACCAGCCGTACGGCCACCACCAAACCACACAGCCCTCAGAAACACACTATTGCCATATTTACTTTTTTAATGAAGAAGGCAATGACTAACTCCAGCACATTTTAAACTCTGTCTGACTATAAAATAAAATGTAATGATTTGTTTAGTTTATTAACAAAACCTTTCAGCTGCTAGTTAATGTGTTATTTAGCCTCATGATTTTAGTATGTCAATATATTCAATATCATAATAAATCAATTCTTATGAAACTAAAGACCATCTTTTCATAACCCCATCTCTTCCATGGTTACTGATAATTTACCCACAAAACAAAAACAAGAATCATGCCCCCACCAGTTCACATTTTTTCCCATCTGCAGGTTTCCTCTCCCTGTTCCACCATCCTCTTTCTCCTGCCTTAACCTTGTTACTGAGACTTGGTGTAATAAAGTGTCATAAATCTATTCAAATGGAAACATTTCTTTTTCTTTTCTTTCTTTTTTTTTTTTTTTTTTTTTTTTTTTTTTTGACGGAGTTTCGCTCTTGTTACCCAGGCTGGAGTGCAATGGCGAGATCTCGGCTCACTGCAACCTCTGCCTCCTGGGTTCAGGCAATTCTCCTGCCTCAGCCTCCCGAGTAGCTGGGATTACAGGCGTGCGCCACCATGCCCAGCTAATTTTTGTATTTTTAGTAGAGACGGGGTTTCACTTTGTTGACCAGGATGGTCTCAATCTCTTGACCTCGTGATCCACCTGCCTCTGCCTCCCAAAGTGCTGGGATAACAGGCTTGAGCCACCGCTCCCGGCTTTAGAAACATTTCTTAACTCTTCATATTTCAGCCTGAAACTCACATTTAAAAGTAAAAGTTCTCCCCATTCACAAGACTCTTAAATGCTGTAGTATTGTTATGATAATTACATTTTAAAAGCATATTAAGTGCCTATTGATTTCTCCCACCTTCAGCAAACATGAGAGTATATGGCAGTTGTAACATTTTGAATTACAAAAAACAATTATTATTGCTATTAGCTCCAAAGAGAGTTGTGATTGCAGGA